GGAAAGGAGGAAGAGGAGGAGGAGGATAAGGAGGAGTAGGAGGAGGAGAGGAGGAGGAAGAGGAGGAGGAGGAGGAAGAAGAGGAGGCAGAGGAGGAGGAGGAAAGGAGGAAGAGGAGAAGGAGGAGGAGCAGGAGGAGGAGGAAGAGGAGGAGAAGGAGGAAGAGGAGGAGGAGGAATAATAATAAAGTTTTCCAAATGCACATGAAGGGCAGTATTTTAGGAGAAGAAAGCAGACCAAGAGCAGCAGTAGGAAATTAGGCCAGTGGTTCTTCAAGTGAGGTCAGTCATTGGACCACCAGCATGGAACTCTCCAGGAGTTGCTGGGCAAAATCTCTAGAGATGAGCTCCTTAATAAGCTCCTTCATGGGTTCAGCTAGGTTTAAGAATTGCAATCACTGGTTCAGACTACATTGTAAAAATTAAAAAAAAGAAGAAGAAATTTCTTCTACATATGAGTAGCAGCCAGATGTTGCAAAGTATTTTCCAAGATATTTTAAAAGAAGAAGAACGCATGCACTTGTCTGATGGCAGGACCATGCACAGATGACTCATTTCAAGGTTCAGCTGAAGGGACCACAATGTCTACTCCCAGCCCATAATTTAGGCATTTTTCTTGGTCACTGTCACCCAGTCCCAAGGCTGGGGCTGGAGACAGGCTTATGGGATTTCCCAACCTCATTAGTCTCTTTGTTGCTTTCCGAAAACCCCCGGAGGCTTTGGAGACTTGAAAATAGGAAGATGATGGCCTTTGCCAAAGTCACTTTCAATTAGACAAGGATTTTTTTTTTCTGTTTATAGACTTCATAGAGATCTGATAATACTACTACTCTTTCTTGTGGAGGGACTACAGGAAGCTCTCTGATTAAGATAGATTTTGAAAAATGGTTTCTTGGCAATATCTTCAGATTAGAAATAAATTGGTGATTAAAAATAGAATGAATGTTAAATCTTTTCAAGATGTCATAACAATATATAGCAGCAAGATTTCTTTTCTATAGAAATATATATATAAAACCCAAAACAGGGACTTTTGAGAATTATTTAAGAGGCATTGAAAACTCCAAGTTAAAAATAGCTTTTACCAGACCCCAGGAGGAGCAAGTAGAATCGGCAATTTTCTAACAAGAACCAGGGCATAAAGATCCTTTAAGTCCTGTCTCAGGGAACTAGATAAGACAGGTCAGCTCTCAGCTCTGCGGTGCACAGCAGTGGTTAGGAGCACAGCACCTCAAGTCAGACCCACAGACCTGCCTTGCCTTTTAATCCCAGTGTTACCTCTGAGCAGTTTTGTGACCTTGGGCAACTGACAACTCTCTAAGCCTCAGTTTTCTCATCTGCAAAATGGGAATAAGAATAGTAGCAGGCTGCCCTCATCCTCAAGTAGGTAGTTGGGAGGATGACTCAAGCTAACATTCGCAGGCCTCTGGCTCACCCTATCTGGCACAGAGTAAGCACTGGTGCATGGTAATCATTGCTGTTATAAGGATTTCTACCACTTTTATGGTAAACCAAGGACTTTCTGTAATGCCAACATATTCAGGACACTTAGGAAGAGCTCTCTTTCAAGGGGGTCAGAGAGGGAAAGAAGGCTGTTGCTTAGGAGTATTAAACTTCTGAATTTTAATCGTTCGTATCCATTAAGTCCCTCATCTGAGATTCAACCTTCTCCAGGAGCTATCTCCTGCTCCCAATTTCTCACAGCAGGTAATTCCCGCACCCACCACACTTTGCCAGCTCATTATATTCTGTCTTAGATTTTCCTTTAATCTCTTCATGTGCACAAACTCCATCTCCCTAACCAGACTATAGGTTTAGTTCATGCCATACACCTTATTTTTTGATTTTTTCCATCTCTCCGAGCTCAATACACAGTATATACATGGTGGGTAAATAAGTAAGAATAAGAGTATGTGAATATGTAAGTCACTATTAGCTCTCTTCTCCTTCTTCCTTCTAGTAATAGCAGTCATAATATTAGATTAATAATAAAAGCTTCTGCATATTGAGTCCTTTCTGTGCACTAAATGAAACACTTTAAATGCTGACCTCCCTGGACCGTCCACAATACCATGTGACCATGCTCTGGGTGTCTGCCAAGAGAATTGTGACGAGAAGAGTAATACCTAGGGACACTTTCCAGCCTCACTTAGCCAAGTTCAGAAACATGGTCTGAGCCATCAGCTCCAGATCCTGAGCAGGAGACATCAACCTCCATCCCTTTTCACCCATCACAATCCAGCTGATGGTTTTAGAGCTCCTGTTACCAAAGGTTCCCTAAAGCAGAGATTTTGGGAGCTCCCAAAGCAGAATTTTAAGGACAAGGGACTTGTACCTTTGAGGGGCACAGGCTGAAAATTCCTTCCAACTGTCTCCTGTCTGTCTTCTAAGGTTGACCATAATGCACATTAAGAAATGTATATTATACTGCAAGTCAAGTCTGTATTTCAACTGTTTTTTTTTTTTTTTTTTTTTTTGAGACAGAGTCTCGCTCTGTTGCCCAGGCTGGAGTGCAGTGGCACGATCTTGGCTCACTGCAAGCTCTGCCTCGCGGGTTCACGCCACTCTTCTGCCTCAGCCTTCCGAGTAGTTGGGACTACAGGCACCCGCCACCACACCCGGCTAATTTTTTTTGTATTTTCTTTTTAGTAGAGAAGGGGTTTCATGGTGTTGGCCAGGATGGTCTCGATCTCCTGACCTCGTGATCTGCCCGCCTTGGCCTCCCAAAGTGCTGGGATTACAGGCGTGAGCCACTGCGCCCGGCCGACCCTCTGATGTTTTTCTATTCTATTTCATTCTTTCTTTAAAAATGATGCTTGAGAGAATGTGAAGAAATTGGAACCTTTATACATTGCTGATGGAAATGTAAGATGCTTTAGTGTCTTTGGAAAACAGTTTGACAGTTCCTCAAAATCTTAAACATATTGTTACCAAATAATCTAGAAATTCCACTCTGAAGTATGTATCCAAGAAAAACAAAAGCGTACATCTATAGAAAGACTTGAACATGAATGTTCATAGCAGCATTATTCATAGGAGCCAAAACATAGTAACAACCAAATGTCCGTCACTGACAAATGAATAACCAAAATGTAGCATATCCATCAATGGAGTATTATTCACCATAAAAGGAAACAAAGTACTGATCTATGCTACAACATGTATGGCCCTTGAAAACGTTATGCTAAGTCAAAGAGGCCATCACAAAAACACATATTATAATATTTCAATCATATGAATGGTCCAAAATAGGCAACTCTATAGGGACATAAAGTGAAATTGGTCCTGGGAGGGAAGATGGGGGGAATGTGGAGTGGGTATGGAGTTTCTTTCTGGGGTGATGAAAATATTCTACAACTAGAACGTGGTGATGGTTGCATAACTGCTAATATAAAAAACAATTAAATTACACATTTAAGGGGTAAATATATGGGGTATGAATTATGTTTCAGTAGAGCTGTTTTAAAATGATGGTTGTGATCCAATAAATTGATTCCACCACTCCCAGTGGTCACAAGTCAGGTGAAAACCATTGTCCTAGAGAATGGTGGCCCTCAGCCCTGTCCTCATCACGAGAGTCACTGCTTGGCCTAGACAGTGAAGGAGATGGCCCGCTGTGGGTAGGTGCTGGACTGATATATGGAGGGGTGGCCATGTGGACAGAGGGTGAACGCCACCTGCAGTGCAGTGTCCACAGCCCTTTACGGTGGCTGGATCTCGATCACATTTTCAGCAGAACTTGTCCTGCTAGAAGACTACATTTCTCAGCCTCCCTAACAGCTCAGGTGCCCAAGAACAGAAGCCCTTGCTGAAATTTCTGGAAGATTTCTTCCCATTTGTTTCATTGTGTTAAAATAGACATAACATAAAATTTACCATCTTAACCTTTTTTTTTTTTTTTTCTGTAGAATTCAGTAGTGCTAAATACATTCACACGCTTGTGAAACCACCACCACCCTCCACCTCCAGAACCCTTCTCACCTTGCAGAACCGAAGCTCTGCACCCATCAAACACTGACTCCCCACTGCTCCCTCCCTGCAGCCCTGGGCGCCCACCACTCTGCTTTCTGTCTCTATGAATCTGACTACTCTAAGAGTTGCGTATAAATGGAATCATACAGTATTTGTCTTTCGGTGACTGGCTTATTTCACTTAGTATAATGTCCTTAAGTTTCATCTACTTTGTAGCATGCGTCAGGATTTCCTTTCTTTTTAAGACTGAATAATATTGCACTGTATGTACAGACCACATTTTAAAAATACGTTCATCTGTCTAAGGCAGTTGGGTGTGCAAATATCTCTTTGAGATCCTATTTCAATTATTTTGGGCATATACCCAGACGTGGAATTGATGGATGAGAGGGTAATTCCATCGTTAATGTTTCTAGGAACTATCATACCATTCCCCACAGTGGCTGCATTTTACACGCCCACCCATAGTGCACAAGGGCTCCAATTTCTCCATGTCATCGCCAACCCTCAGGATTTTCAGGGTTTTCGACAGCAGCAGTCCTGATGGGTGTGTCTGGGAGTGACTTCTGGGAGTGGAGAGGCTGACCTGGCCAGGGTGGTCAACCCTTCTGCTCCTTTCTACTCTTCCCACCTCCAATTTGAATGTGATGGCTCAGTCTCCAGAAGCCAACTTATGACCCTGGAGAGGAATCAGCACCAAGGCTGGTGAAGCACAGGAGAAGAGACTGAGTCCCTGGCCCTTTTCTAGAAGCCACCTCAGCTAGCTGCCTCTGGAGTTTCTTTCCGTGGCTAAGTAAGTCCCTAGCTTGCTTACACTACTGCGTTGAGTCTCTGGTATTAGCAGCCAGAGGAATTTCCAAATGACATGCCATCTAAATGAGCACAAACTACCCCCATTGCATGTGAACTTCAGAGACACCCTTTGAGGAAGAACAGCCCCGCTCCCACCCAGGCCTTGCCACCTCCCTTGCCCTCTGGAAGAACTTCTCCCTGAGTCCCCTCTCCAAAGTGAGAGGAGATGACTGGTACCTCGTGATCTTGAATATCCTCAGCAACCGGACGCATCGGAGCACGGAGATGCCCAGTGGGGACATGATCTTGGTCTCTACCAGGATGGTCTCCAGGATGCCGCCACACACGACGAAGCAGTCAAAGCGGTTGAAGAGGGACACGAAGTAGGCCTGCAGGCCCAGGCTGTACATCTTCAGGAGCATCTCTGCCGTGAAGAGGGCCAGCAGGGCCTTGTTCGCCGTGTCTGGCAGGCCCAGGAGAGGGATGAGATCCGAGCAGGGCCAGAGGAGGGCACAGAGGGAGGCAGGGAAAGGGAATACAGTAATTATCTCCACTGGAAAAAAGATCCCCCATGACACCGCTCCCATCCACCTTGGCCAAAACAGAAGAGTTAGGGCCAAGCCAGTGGGAAAGGGCTCTCTCGTCTTAATCATAACAGACATTTACTGAGCATCTCTCATGTGCCATAGGCTCAGCACACACACAAGCTCTACTCCTCATAGCAGGCCTGTGGAGATGGCACCACCATCGTCATGCCCATTTTCAGAGATGAGAAAGGAGGTTCAGAGAGGTGAGTAATCTGCAGGCCAAACGGCCAACAGTTGGAGCTGCACTGTCTGAGTCCAACCTCTCCACCACCAGACCCCCTGCCTCCCAGGACTCTGGAATGCAGCTGTGGGGGATGGGGCCAGGTCTTCTTGACTGCCCAGCAATGACGATGAGGCCTGGCTAGCAGGACCCTCGTCTAGGGGCCCAAGGAAGGATAATGAGAACGAATGACCCATTGAAGACAGTTCCTTGTGCTCAGGCCCTATTCTCTTCTCTGCGTTTTTGCTCATTCCATCCTCACGTGTTCTGGTTAAGGCCACCTCGGGGCTGCAGGAAGGCCCCCAGGTATTTAAAATCCATGCTGGGAAGTTGGCAGCCAGGGGTCTGAGATAGGCAAACAAGCTGCAGCCCCTTTCCTCATCACCCGGGCACAACGGTGACTTTGGGGCAGGCTGATGGTGTGGGCCCAGTCAGGGAAGTCGTGTCTGTTTTTAACAAGGTAGTGCATTTTATTGTGGGGCTTTAGAACTGCTAGGCACTTGTTATCTCCAGCACAGCATCTGCCAAGAGCCCCAACCACTGTCTGCTTTCCCATCCACCTTCTGCCTGTGGTTATGCCCTCCCCTGGGCCTTGGGGCTGAGTTACCAGGAGGAAACCAGGGCAGAGCTGGGGCCGCCGCTCACCTTGGACTTCCGTGAGCCAGTGGGGCTGGTTGTAGTGCTCAGAGGCAATGGTGAGCGTGTTGAGGAACACCAGGAAAATCACCAGCCAGTAGAAGACATTAGACTTGACCGCGGCACGGCACTTTCTTCTGCAGAACCGATTCCACCGGCGCCAGTAGCGGCTGGAAAGGGGACAAGGAGAGAAGGGTGGGGATGGCTGTGAATTCAAGTTTCCTCCAACCCAAGATGCAGCCCTGTGGCTCTTCTCACCCCTCACTGACCTGGCCTTGCTAGAACAGCCCAACCTGGTGGCAAGGAGCCCAGCTTCTCACCCAGCTAACCAGGCCCTGCTGCCTTGGGGATGCCCCTGAACTCCTCCAAGCTTTAGTTCTCCCATCTGTGAAACGGGAAGAGGGCCAACCTCATGGGGTTATTGTGGGGATGGATCAAATACCTTTTAATGCATCTGGTTGTTTTGAAGTTGAAGGTGCTCAATAAATGGAAGTTTTTTTTAAAAATTTTTTGTAAAACAGCATTCTTAGAAATAGTGTTGCAAGCAATAAGAGCGTTTTTTTTTTTTTTTTTTTTTTTTTTTGAGACGGAGTCTCGCTCTGTCGCCCAGGCTGGATCTCAGCTCACTGCAAGCTCCGCCTCCTGGGTTTACGCCATTCTCCTGCCTCAGCCTCCCGAGTAGCCGGGACTACAGGCTCCCACCACCTCGCCCGGCTAGTTTTTTGTATTTTTTAGTAGAGACGGGGTTTCACTGTGTTAGCCAGGATGGTCTCGATCTCCTGACCTTGTGATCCGCCCGTCTCGGCCTCCCAAAGTGCTGGGATTACAGGCTTGAGCCACCGCGCCCGGCTAATAAGAGCGTTCTTAGTAATAGCGGTGGAGGGGCCCAGTACCACATTGGGCACTTCTCATGCCTTCTCTCCAATTCTTTCAGTAACTCTGCAAAACATGCATCATCCTGATTGTTGTGGAGGAGAAAACTAAGGGCCGGGGAGGCTGTGTACCTCGACCAACATCACAGCGGGCAGAGCCAGGCGTGGTTTTCTGCCCAGCCTCCTGGCCCTGACTCTGCGTGCTGCATCCATATGGTAGAAGGGGTTCATCTGGAGCACAGGCTCTTTGTTCTTCTGGGTTATAGAATCTTTCCAGAATCTGATCAGCGTTTAGATCTGCCTTTCAGAAACATGGGCACACACCCACACCCACACCTTTCCATGTGAGCCCATGCAGCACACAGACCCCTTAAAGCTCATTCATGCTCCGTGGACTGTTCCCAGTATCCTGGTTTAGGGGCCTTTGTCAGTGATTCTCAAACCTGGCTACACACAGAACTACCTAGGGAACCCTCCCCAGAACCCCACTGGTCCGCAAGCCCCAGCACCAAACCAATTAAGTCTGATTCTCTAGGGGGTTGGGTATTTTTAAGGTTCCCCAGGTGGTTCTAATGTGTAATGATGGTTGAGAACCGTTGGCTAAGATGATCCTGAAGAAACACCTTTTAAGATTCCATGGTGGAGGCGTTTTCATTTTCCTGATACAGAGAACCTACATAGCTCTATTTGGTTGGATTCAGTAGACGACATGGTTAATAAATGGCTGCAGTGTGCAAGGAGCGAGGAACCACAGCTGAAGAGGTGCTGAGGAGGAGACTGCAGGGGCCATGCTGAGGGCTTGGGGAGGGGGAAAGGACATGATCAGGTTGGATTGGAACACCCCACAAAAACAGCCCCTCTGTCACCTTCCAGACCAGGGAGAGTATGAGGAATTATCTTCCTGTTCTCCAGGTTAAAGATGATGAAGGCAATAGATTTATTAATGGCAAAGACGACACGGAGCTGGCAGCAATTTTGGAGGCAGAATCAACAGGCCCTTGAGATGAGAGGATGTGCAGAATAAGAAAGACAGGTATGGAAGGGAGGCCCACGTTTTTAGCTGGGGCGATTTGGGAGAGCGGCACAGAGGAGGGCCAGAGGAGAGGGAGTAGAGCTCCAGGCAGAGGCATCAGCTATGAGAAGCATGGGGTGCTTAGCTCTGCACATGGCTTTGGGGCACCTGTAGGGCTTGTACGCAGACCCACCAGGCATAGAGGACGCAGCTCCTGCTTGGGTAATGAAGGCAGGAGGAGAAATAAAGTAGAATCCTGGTGATAAAGTCCATGAATATCTGTATTTTTCCATAAAATGATCTTCTTTCTATGAATCTCTCTAGTCTAGACAGACATTCCTCTAAATAAGCATGCAGAATCTGCCTCAGGGCAGAGATTTCAAACCTCACACTGCAGCCCATTAGTGGGTCATGAAATCTATTGAGTAGGTTATACCTGGCACTGAATAAAGGAATAGAGTGGAAAATATCACAGTGCCTATCATATCATAAGGAAACTGCTTTTTAAAGTAAGCAGTAAGGAAAATATTTTTTACATAAAACTTTGTTTCCAGGGGGGGTGTGTGTGTGTGGCATACTAAGTCTGGATGTGAAAACTGGCCCTCCACTTCAGCACCAGGAAGCTGAACTGAGGTCTTCTATTCTAAATCAGAGTCTGTGGCATGAGTCCGTTTCTCCAGCCTTCCTGCCAGAGATGACCATCAAGCCTCAGCGTCACCTCCTGGGTCAGGCTATGCTGGTGGTAGAACAGCAAGTCCCATCTGTGTGAACCTGCTGGTCTGTGAATGGCCTATTCCTTTCCAGCCCCTGGGCACGTAGCAGCACCATATGTGGGTGTGCCCCAGGGGGCAGGGACAGCTCTGGGCTGTGTGCACTGCCCTCAGCCTTGGTCCTCTACTTCCACAGCAGAAGCCCCTCCAAACATCAGCAAACTCCAAGATGCTAGCGACAACTAGTGTTCCAAGGTTCCAGGATGTGGACCTCAGCTGTTATGGATCCCTGCACCCACCCACCCCCAAAATTGCCTCTTGGAGTAGCCTGACTCCATCCACCTTTCTATTCTGTCATTTTTCTATCGATGGTCTGCAGAAAATCCTGTTACCAAGCCTTTGCTCAATCTAGGATGCGGTTAGGAGAACGAAGAGTAATCTAAGAAGGGTACTCTTTCCTCAGGACTGCAGGGAGAACTTAGTTTTTGGCCTGAGGAGCAGGGAGGGGAGAAAGGATTAATCCGGGCAGTGTTCTGCCCTGGCTTGAAGGCCATCTCCAGTGAGGGCCACACCTTACACAGGACACTTGCCTACCACTCGGGGGAAAATCCACTACACAGGGAAGCAGGCCACCAGGTGTAAAATATGGTTTCCAGTCTGTATACTGAAGAGATATCTGCACTCCTATGTTCACTGCAGCACTATTTACAATAGCCACGATACAGAATCAACCGAAGCGCCCATCAGCAGATGAATGGAGAAAATGCGGTATGTGTACACACTGGAATATTGTTCAGCTATAAAAAAGAATGAAATTCTGCCATTTGCAACAACATGGATGGAACTGGAGGCCATTATATTAAGTGAAATAAGCCAGGCACAGAAAGACAAATTGTGATATTCTCACTCACACGTGGGAGCTAAAAATTAAAGCAATTGAACTCATGGATACAGAGAGTAGAATGATGGTTACCAGAAGCTGGAAAGGGTAGTGGATATGGTAAATAGGTAAAAAAATATATAGTTAAATAGAATAAACACGACGTAATATTTGATCATACAACATAGGAGAGAAGGATGGTGACTACAGTCATAATTTATTGTATATTTTAAAATAACTAAAAGAGTGGAATTGGAATGTTCCTAATGCAAAGAAATGATAAGTGCTTGACGTGGCCGGGCGCGGTGGCTCAAGCCTGTAATCCCAGCACTCTGGGAGGCCAAGATGGGCGGATCACAAGGTCAGGAGATCAAGACCATCCTGGCTAACACGGTGAAACCCCGTCTCTACTAAAAAATACAAAAAACTAGCTGGGCGAGGTGGCGGGCGCCTGTAGTCCCAGCTACTTGGGAGGCTGAGGCAGGAGAATGGCATAAACCTGGGAGGCGGAGCTTGCAGTGAGCTGAGATCCGGCCACTGCACTCCAGTCTGGGTGACAGAGTGAGACTCCGTCTCAAAAAAAAATAAAAATAAAAAATAAAAGATAAGTGCTTGACATGAGGAATACCCCAATAACCCCGGTTTGATTTTTACACATTTTACACCTGGATCAAAACGTCACATGCACCCCATAAATATATACACCTATTAGTGCCCATAGTCGTTAACAATTTAAAAAGTTATGATTTCTAAATGCACTTTGGAATTCTTGCACCGCCAGACATACTGCCCTGGATCCGAGGGAGGAAGGTGGAGGGTGGACGGAGGGACAAAGGAACGGGACAATGAGTACCAGATGGTCCCCTTGAGACGAGACCTCTGAAGTTTGCCAGATCTTGATACTAAACAGTCTTTATCTCGCAGGGCATGCCACCGCTTCTTTCCTGTGATTGTGATTATTAATATTGTACAGAAATTTGGCAAGTAGTTTTTTCCCCTAAAAAATGAATTTTCAGGACAAACTCATATCTGATCTTAAACAGCTGACAGTGAAGTTTGCAAAGAACATGTTTTAAATAGATACAATCTCAAGTTCCAGAAATCACTGATAATTGTTATTCAGAGTCCAAGGCAATCAAGGTTGCTTTCTTTACGGTATGTAGAGCTGTCTTAGAGTGGGTTTAATATGAGAACTTGATTATGCCCCTCTTTCCTCATGCTTGGGGGTAGTGGGTATGGGTGTTGGGTGGTCAGGCCTGTCCCATGGGTCTGGAGCTGCTCTGCAGAGACCCCTGAGGAGTGGCTGGAGGGGACAGGACGGTGTCCCTTTAAACTGGGGTGCTCCTGAGCAGACCCATTTGGGAGAGTCACATGGATTTGGGCTGGGGTGGGGGTGGGGTAATTACTATCCAGAGAAAGTATTTAAAGATAATTATACACCTCCCACTCTTCAAAATATAGCTTTGCTTGACAACTGGTTTCCTGGCAACACTTCCTACTGTATAATAAATGTAATGGTTTATTAGAATGTGTAAATTTATTTGTGTTTACATATGCATGGAGGATACAGAAATTAAATGATAAAATAGGGAGGAGAAATTTGCCTGCTATTCATGTTCCCTTCACACTAACTGGAAGTCATTTTCTCTAAAAATAGGACCTTCCGTATGTAGACACAGGAGAGAGGGATGGTTACGAATGGGTCTCATCTATGTCTCTAAACTTCAGGATCACTGCATTCCCAGGGGAAACTTCTGCTCTCGCAGCCCCAGCTCCACCTGCCCTTCTCCCTACACTGGACCTTCCTCTTGCCCGTCCAGCTGCACGGCAAGTCCTCCCAGCTACCGGAAACTCCACCTTTGCTCCATCCTCTGTCCTGCCCCTCCTGTGGGGCTCACACGGAGTCCCAGCTTCTCAGGGATGCATGCTTCTAGTCTTCTCAGTCTGGGCACTCTTCAGTGCTTACTGTCTGCATTACTCATTTTAGTTACACATTCAAGAAATAGTTACTAAACACCGACCATGGAAGGGTACCAGATACCCAGCAGCTAGCACAATGCCCTCAGGCCTCCTCTGTGTAAAACCCACCCGGAGACACAGACCACTAAGTGAGCAGTCACAGCAGGGCCTAAGTGCTGGGCGGGTCCACAAGGAAGCACACAAAAGGACACCTTAGGCAAGAAGGGTCCCCAGAGGAAATGACTTACATTTCCTTGTATTGTCAGTTACCTTGTATTTGTATGGTCCTGCCTCTCCACGTTGCTCACAAGACCCACGAAGGAATGGGGCTGTGTCTTATACTTGCTTACAGACCCACGGGACTCAGCCCAGTCCATCCTGCACAAGAACCCCTGGCTGACGGCATGGCTGAGCAGCAGAGGTGAACTCTACGCAAATGGACCACCTCCCTCTGGATGACAAGGCTGAAGATTCCCGGAGCTCTTGTGAACCAGGGCTCAGGGTGGAGGTGAGGAGAGGGCAGTGCTCCTAAAACAGTTTGCTTGATACGCAATGGTGGACAGGCATCTGGAATCGTAGACAACATCAAAATGATGGGCCCTGCAGGCTCCTTCTAGTGGCTAGAGTAAGTTTCCATTTTTTTTTTTTTTTTTTTTTTTTTTTACCAGAACCAACAACAGCACAGAAAATCATTAAGTTTAATTCTCTTGTAAATAAGTAACTTTACGAAGGACTATTAGAGATTGGGGCAAATGTGGATTTGTGCCTTGTTGCTGATGGCACGGCAGAAGTGGAGAGAACACTGGAAGCACATTTCACTGAAGACTGGGCAAGCCAGTCCTCCCAATTTTAGAACCCCGTGAGGTTCACTTCAGAACTCCGTAAAGTTGAGCTCCAGAAACTCCAACTTGTCTAATTAATCCCTTCAGGTTGCAAAAGACTTCCTGCATCATTTGTTTCCTAACTGTTTACATTCTGTTCTGAACAGTGAGCTCCAGATGCCACAAATCTCTTATTTTAACTAATTCCTCTAAGTGAAAACCTGGATTACCAAGGGAATACTCTAGGATGCCTGTAATATACTATGGCTGTAATCCATTAACTGGCCAAATTTTCCCTAAAGGTTCCATTCCTATACTTCCTTTAAAGAAACATGACTTTGGATCATTCCGTTTTGCAAACGGAATAGGCCAGTTTGAGACTCAAATTCCATTACCTGTAATTGTTACACTGTTTCACCTAACTTGAGAAAATGATTAGGAATCCTTTCAAAATGTTGGTGGCATTTTCAATCTATTTGTAGCCTTTGATATTCCCTAAGCAGACACCATCAGTGAACTGCTGAATCCAGATCAGACAGCTGCTGGGTGATACCTGCTCATGTGTGAAACCTCCAGGGCCATGTGGCCTTGTGTGGCAGCCGCTAGCACCATGCAGCTACTGTGCATGGGAAACGTGGTCAGTCCAGACTGAGATGTGCAGTACCGGCAAAACACACTGAATTTCAGACTTAGCACAAAAGCATGAATGTAAAATAGCTCATTAATACTTTTTATATGAACTACAAATTGAAATAGTAATGTTTTAGAGACACTGGTTTAAATCAAAGAAATTTCCTGTTTCTTTTTATTTTTTAACCTGCCTACTAGAACATTTTTAAAAGTACATATGTGGCTTGCATTGTATTTCTGTTGAATAGCATGGCTCTAGAGTTATGTGGACACGCTAGCTATACAGGAACAGGGTTTACTATTCCTGGGCAGAACCTCATCACTAGGATGGCACAGGGATCGGCAGCAGAGCCCCTAGGTATGAGTTCTGACTCAGCCATACTAGAGCCCTGTGACCTGGGCCCCTGAAAGCCTCAAGATCCTCATCTGGAAATGAGTTTCGATGATAGTGCCAACCTACTAGCTGCAAGCCTTTAGGAGAACAAAAGCTGCTGTCTGCACTGCTGTGGTGTGTTGAGGGGTGGCTGCAGAAGGAGAAGGCCTTCCCAGAGGCAGATGACCAGGGCTGAATGGCCAGCACGTAGCAAAGCCTCAGGGCCGAGGGAGACTCCAGAGGTTTACAGGCACCAAGGCTCTTTCCCTCTTGTTCAAAAGCACAGCTTGCACCATAGATCACTGGATGAAAACAATGTTGCCAGAGTTCCAGGCAATCTCTAACTCGAGACACAAGTATGCAATTTTCCCTTCCATCCTCTGGATCATATTCATTCATTTATTAATTTATGATTTAACCACTTGCATGAAGTGAGAATGATATTTTGGAAATATTTTCAAGTGTATTTTTAATCCCTTTACTCTTATTGTGTGGGGGCTTTGGAACTGTTAAAGCACAACATGCTTTTCCAGCTTTGACTGTCAAATTAGATATTTTGTTTGAATCTGTGTCAAGTCTATTGTCTTACTGGGGCAAGATCATTCATTCATTAATTCACTCACTCACTCAGCAAATATTTATTAGGTCCTTGTTATGTACCAGCCACTTCTCCAGATGCTGGAGATAAAGCAGTGAGAGCCAAGCATTACTGAGAGAGAGAATTTTTTTTTTTTTTTAATATATTTCTGGAGCTCTTTCTCTGTAATAAGAGCCAGAGCTGATGGGCTGGACCCTAGATTTTTTATGTAGACGAGGTCTTGGTTTGAGAGAAAGAGGAACTGGGAAAAAAGCCTATATTTTCCAGTCCTAGTGAAATGGGAGAGAAAGAATGTGTCAGAAGTGGAGCCAAAGTCAGACACCAGAGTCCTCACTTAATTTTTAGCCCTTGGGCACCACACTTCAAGAGGTTGGTGGGGGGTTGCTTTAGAAACACCCAGATGGCCATGGGTAGGCCCAGGGACACTGGGGCTGGTGGAGTGCCTTGGCAGACCCTGGGAGGTCAGCCCTTGGCTTGAAGCTTATCCTGGCTGTTACAGAGGGCGTGATGGGACACCAGTAGGCCAATGAGCCTGCCGTAGTGCTGCTGCCTCCCCCAGTTCCTTCAGAGAGCGTGAGGGACTTCGAAGTGTCCGTGTACTCAGCTGAGGTGTAGAGGTGCTAAAGTCAGTGGGCCAACAGAACTCAAGGGTCAGAGAGCAGAGGTGGAGATTTCAAGGCCAGAGGCAAGCAGAGGGCATGGACTCCAGCAGTGGATGCTCTAACCAGATGGACCTCAGTGGGTACCAGTTCAGACAGCAGTCCAGCCTAGCCGCAGGCAGCAGAGATGAGCATCCAGAGGGCGTGCAGCTTGTAGGACCAGCCCTCATCATTCCCTGCTTCCTGGAATCGCAAAGTCCCTCTCCTCCATGTGTCCAGCTCCATCTAAGAGAGGAGCTGGGACAGAGGCAATCTGAGAGACAAATCACTTTACCTTAAGGGACAGTTTAAAATACAGCACTGGGCTACGTTTACTCAGCTGGATGAAAATTTCTTTATGCTCCTGCCTTGTAGTAGGTAGGGCTAGGGAATCAAGATTAGCTCAATGATGAAAAACAACCAATATTTTTTGGTAGATACACGCTTTGTGGGAGTGAATTCACATTCTCCCTGCACACGTCTGTCCACTAATTCATTCAACACACATGTACGGACATTCACCACTGGACAGGCACTGAGCTGGGTGCTCTGAAAGTAACCCCTGTGAGGCATGCAAGCAGAGCCTCTGGAGGCAGGGGACTGTGAGCCAGGAATCCGAGTGTGATCTGCTGAGTGATGTGACAGAGACATCAGCAAAGCACCAGGGAAGGGGGAGTTGAGTAACTCTCCCTGGAGTTTGCAGAAGGTATTTTCCACTCCCAGCGCAACGGAGAGAAAGCAGTAACATGGAAGCAGTAACATCTGAGGGTCTGAACAGAAGTCTGAGTTCTCCAGATGAAGGCCTAGGGGGAATGGTGATTTAAGTGGAGGAACGGCTCCATGCAAGGGCCTCAATGTGCACCAGGACAGGGAACATTTAGATAACTGCAAGAAGTTCCCTGTAGGAGGAACAAAGGTTATTTTCACGGAAGTGCAGGAAGTGAGGCTGGGAGGCAGATGGGGGCTGAGGACCCTGGGTCCTTTTGTAGGTTCTGTCATTGTCAAGAGCAGTGACCCAGATGGGTGTCATAATCCTATGTGCTTTCCATCATCATCATAGTTCACATCTTACCATGTTCTATAAAGAGGAAGTAGGTCATGACAGTCACAAGGGTTCACTTTATGTTTCTTTTAACTGGACTTCATCTTAGAAGGGAGGAAAACACATCTGGTCTGACAACTTCCTAGGGACACTGCTGCCAAAAAGATGGACGGTCCGAGATCATTCAACAAATGTCAACCACTGGATTATTTGTCTGATCTGAGCCATAAGCTTTTTCTTAATGGCCATACAGAAAGTAGTTACCCCCTAAGAAGAATACCCCTTACCCTACTGACAACTCGTAGGCATTACCTTGGGCCACCCAACAGGGTGGCTGAGGACAGAGCTGGTGGTAGAAGGAAGGAAGAGCAGTGTGCGTCTCACTCACCTGAACTTTGACTTGGAGATCCGGTGGCTGAAAGAGAAAAAGGAAATGTTACCAAACACACGTGCATTTAAAAGATGTTCAACAGTCCCAGGGAAATTTGATGTTCCCCAGGTAACTTCGTGTAGGCGCTGGAAGGAGGCATGGTGTGAATTAGAACATCTTGGGAGAGAAAGAACACTATGTATTTGAATGTGGAGACTGAGGTCTGGACCAGCTAGCATCTTCTAAGTACAATCCTTGCTGTAGAGAGAGAGTACCAGGTCCTCGGGGTCTGCCTAGAAAGTTCTATGAGGTCAGGTTAGGAAGAGCTGTATCTTGAGAAAAGCTGCAGAGGAAGAAAAGGCCTCTCCTGATGACAAGAAGACCCCAATAGCAGAAAAATCACAGGCAAGAACAGGTCGGCACTGACCTCACAGCTGTCTGCCAGAGCCCAGCTAGAGTGGGGTTATGAAGGGAAGACCAGCAAAATGAGCCAGCCAGAAATGGAGGGGCCACAACAGCCTCCACCCAAGAGCTACAGAGGGGGCCTAAGGAGCCAGCCCCAGATTCAGAGGAGAAACACAGGATGCTGACAGTCACGTGCAGTCCTGAAGACCTGGGGACTTCTGGGCAGAAGCTCAGGGTGGGCGTGAGGGTGGCTGCCTGGAAGGGTCACTGAACAGGGAGGGGGTTCCATGGAAAGGCGGAACCTTCAAGGAACTCCTGAGCCTCCCTAGTTCACGTAGGGAAGAGTGCACGGGAGGCAGGGGGCTGGGAGAAGAGGGCAGGCGGGAGAGACTGTGAAAGAGAAGTGTGGAGGAGAGAAGGCTGAGCCAAAGAGAGAGAAACAGAGTGAGAGATTGTAAGCAGTTGAGGCTATTAGAAGGCACCTGTCAGCTTGGCTTTGGTGCTAGAAGGGCGTGAACACTGGGGATAGTGCAGGTGGTGACAATGTTCAGATGGAGAAGCGGAAGAACAGAACGCAAGTTAGAGATGAAGAAGGCAACGGAGACAGTGGTGGAGCAACAAGGAGAGGCATGGGGAGGAAACACGAGAAGGGAGTCTGGGAGGCGACCGCCGCAGGCCTGCCATGTCCCAGCCTGGCACACAGCGAGCTGTGTCGCAGAGCAAGAACATGCCAGCCCCTCTCGTTATTTCTTATTAAAAAAAATTAAGCCAGAAGATGTGACAGGTGGCAAAGCCATCGTGCATGAGATAATTATATCTCTGGGGCACTGCGAATCAGAGCCAAGTGCCTTTACTGCTCTGAACCGTTAGCTAATAACCTCATCCCACCCCCATAGACTGCCTGTGAGGGCTGGAGGGTTTAATCACACGTTAACAGCGTGTGGGAGGGGGACTACGAGCCCAGGGCAACACTGTTATTTACAGCCACAGTTTAACCAGCAAACGAATGTTTCCCAGCTGCTAACTGGGTGCTGGGGAACCCAGGTGCTCTCTTCTCCAGCGGGCCCATGCTGAGCCCCAGACCTTCAGCGTCTTCCCAGGCTGCATTTGGGTGGTTGTCTCTCCTTGCTGTTACCCATAAGCCCAAGTGGGTGACCACGGCCTTCAGCTTTGTCATTCTGACTCCAAGCCTAGCCTGGCCCCAGGCCTTCTTTCAGAAACACCTCAGTAGTCCTGCCTGGGGTGCCCCCTGATGACGACCACCGACCCTTTGCCATGAGGCATTCTCTTGCTCGTAGTGCAAGTGGGTCACAAGTGCAAGTGGGCTCTGAAAAGCTCCTCTCTGGGGAAACCTAACCCTGAGTGTTCATCTCCAAGGGAAATGACCCTGAGAAGCAGGACTGGTGCTGGGGGTGCTGGAAAAGGAGGTCCTGCTTCAAGCATGGTCGTGGACTGCAGGTCCTTCTGTGGCATCCGGGCACATTCTGAGCAAGAAATGGACAGAGCTTTCTTGTCTGCTTTGTGACAGGTCCGGATGGATAAGCCTGGGCACCACACTTAAAGACTGATTTTGTTGCTATTGTTGCTATTCTCTGGGATTGTGAGCACAATTTTAGGTTTGCGGGGACCAAAACCTCATCCTCTTTTAAAGGCTGGCACTTTTGACAAGCAACCGCCGAATGACTAAGTTCCATGTTGGGCAGACTCCCCTCCTGGAGAAGGGGAGGACACTGCAGCGGCGTTTGTCTGGAGACCGAGGAAAACTCCATGCCCGTGGGAGCTGCGGTGAGAACTCCGTGACATCTGAACTCCTTGGTTCTTCCTGCTCCCTTTGCACACCTTGGAGTTAATGCTAGGACCTCTTTGCCTCCTGGGAGGTGGCCCAGGGTTCTGGGCTGGAAAGGTGCTCCTGCAGTGAGAGGACGCAAGCCAGGAGCCCAGGTGCCTTGGTGCCATGGTGCTGGTCCACATCCTAGGCCGGTTCACTGTGGCCAGTGCCTCCCTGCTACTGATCTTCACAATCTCCAAAGAACCCTGAGAACAGCTGGGGGCTCTGGCTTCTCTATGCACCGTGCACTCAGAAGGCTTCCTGGCTTTCTTTGGAACAACCATCGTTGTTCCAATGAGGCACAATTCCTACCTCAGGTTGAGCGGATTCTTGTAGAAGAGCGAGGAGGGAGAGAAGGCTGGTAAGGAACACGAGACCATCAGAACAGTTCCAGTGGGTGGGAACTGAAGTTCATGCAACCCCAGATACTTTCTCCACCCAGGACTCTAAGACAAACCTTCGGAGAGACCATGATTTTCCTTTGTGCTTTTCAGGTTCAGAATTAGAGACAAGCCCCAAACTCTTTTTTTCCCCTGGTTACTCAGTTTGCATTTGTCATTATCTGAGAAATATTTGAACTTCTTGAGAGCTATTTATATTTTCAGCCTCTCCCCTCTTCTTAGAGGAACGAGTGCCATATGTTTACTACCTGCTGTGTAAAATAGTATTTCCCTGAATTGTCCCAAATTTGCCTTTAACGTAAGTCAGATGGCACTACAGTCATCATCCACATTGACAATGCGTCTGACTCAGCATCCTTAACTCTGGGACTTCCTCTCCAGCACAGCTCTTATTATTGGGAGGGTCACATCCTGCCCTTGCCACGGCATAGGATTCCTTCCACTCCTGGGTACTGAGCTCAGATGCTCCATGGCTCTGGCCAGAGCCTCCCTTTCTATGATCCCTCCTGCTCTTTCAGAGGACCCAACCTTTGTCCTCACTGGATCCTCCCCATCACCCACACCCTTTAACACCAGGCTTGACTACAGTCATGACAACGTTGCCCTCAATACCACAGAGACTCCACACCGCCTGGGCCTTCTGCTGCACCTGCATGGCTAAGCCCCACCCTGGGTCACCCCGCTGTCTCTTTTTAGTGCTCTCAGGCTGCAGAGTCTGCCAAAAATATGGCTGACTGCACATTTATGATATCAGTCTCCACCGCGGCATCAGTGCTGCCCAGGAACCTTTGGGCAACCTCTCGATGACTCACTGGTTTCAGTCTCCATACTGTCCTTCAAGTTCCTGTGGCCCCTGACCCTTGCTTTGGGAGATGAGATGGCTGAGCTCATTTGGAGTGACTCCTATCACTGACCCCTTCATCAGAGCCTGTTTCTGATTCTATCTTCTTTACAGAACTGTAGGCCTTGAGAGCTGGAAGGGACCCTTAGATACCATGTGGACCTACAGTTTGCAATTTCTCCAGGTGTAGAATGCTTTCTTCATATGAAATCTTGCACCGCTTCAGGTGGTTTCCGCCCCCTGCCCCAGCCTCTGCTGAGATGTCAGTCCGACCCTTCTTTTTCCCAGAGGATGAGGCTGAGGCTCAGAGCAGATCGCTTTGGCCAAGATCCCAGGGCTAGCTGGAGGTTGATGGGCACTAGACTCTGGAACTCCTCTTCTTTCATTTTCCAATTAGTCCCAGGCGCACAGAAACTCCTCTTTCCTGAGCAAGTTCAGTGCCTCAAACTGTCTTTGCTGTCGCCCTTCTCCTCTTCAGAAGCAATGCCTTCCTGTAAGCACCTGCTTCCCCTCCAGCTTGTTTTGCCTCTTCCTGCTCTGTGACCTCTTCCTTGCCTTGAAGCTTGCCCTAGCTTTTATCACAACGGAGGCCAGCACTTCCCACACTCATGCTACTCCTCTTCACATGCTCCCATCTTCCTCCCTGTCCATGGCCTCACTGCCTGAGTGAGCACCTGTTCTGGCCCATTTCCACCCCTTCTCCCTCACTGAGACTTACTCCCAAGACCAGAGCCCTGCAACTCTTAGGGGGTAGCACCCCAGAACACACACAGCATAGCCCTTCTTTCCCTCTGCAACCCGAGCTGCCGCCACACTACCTCGCACCTGCGCCAGGCTCTTGCGGCTTCTCATTCCTCCCTGCTCTTTTCCTAACATCGCAGTGATCCTTCAGGAGCTCCGAACTAACCAAATCAACCTCCCGCTCAGCTCTGTTCGGAACGCCCTTCAGCGACTTCTCACACTCTTCTGACGCAGACCCAAATGGTTAAGGGTCTGCCAGGCCCTCAATCACTCATGTCCATCCTTCTGTTCTCAGCTGGAATTTTAATTCTGCAAAGAAGGCTTTCCTAACCTGCCAGTCCAAATCAGAAACCTTTGTTATCAGCCCGACATTACACTTACTTTTCCTTCTCAACACTTACCCCAATTTAGAGTTGCCTATTTATTTGCACAGCGTCTCTCCCACACTAGACCGTGAGCTCCAGTATGATGGCGTCAATTTCCTCCCCTGTTGTGTGTCAACACCACCACCTAGCCTAGCACCAAGCTGGGCAGACTGTGGAACGAATGCACAGATCAACAGCTCTGTCCTGAAATTCCTCCCCCCGCGCTTCCAGGCTGGCGCTGCTGCCTGTTCTCCTAACGTTCCTTTGTCTGTTTTGCTTGCTTGGTCTTCTTCTGTGTGTCCATTTCCCAAGATTCAGCCCTTGGTCTTCTGTTTTTCACTTCGCTCTGAACAACCCCGTCCTATCACCTCATTGGTGGTTTTCATCCCGGCAACCTCGAACGTGTGTGGCCACCCCTGTTCAGAGCTGAGCCTTGGACCTCGGTATCTCGTGGTCTCCATGATACCTGCAGGTCACTCCAACTGGGCCCCTGCTTCAGATTTCACTTCCGCCTCATTATCCTCTTCCCTGTGATGGCTCCTTCCTCTTCATTACCTCCACCTGCCTGCCTCTGCCGCCACGAAATACCATGCTGTAGTTCTTTCCTCTCTTCCCCCAAGAGTAAGATCTCCATCCTGGCCTTCTTACTACACAGCAGTCCTCATCGTGACCTCATCTTATTACATAAGACTTTTAACTCCTAGCTTTAAAGATCCTGGTCACTCACTGTCCCCTCAGACCATCACACTCAGTCTCAGTTCCCATGCTGCTTCTCCCACCACGAATGCTGGCAGAGTCTTGGCCCGTCATTGTCTGGGGCAGGGTGGGAGGTCGGGAGATGGGGAAAGACCACATTTTATTAGGGGCATATTACAATTCTGGCATGTGACACAGCATTCTGCATGCACAGAGTGCGAATGTGGCTAAACATGGGGATGACAGGGACCATTTCTGCAGCGCTCTCCAGGCTGCAGAGCACGTGCTCTGAGCAAACGGCAGATCCACTGGAGACTGCCAGCCTCCATCCGCAGGGGAGTATCAGGTTTCCTTCCTAACAGAGCCTCAGGCTCTCCTGAAAGGTACTGTCCGGTGACTTCCTGGTGCCAGCTCCCTGGTCCCTCCTGGTGTGTGACTTGAGCCTGCTCAACAGCCAGAGTTGCAGGGCCTTTGATCATCTCTCTAAGCCTCGTCTTGGTGGCAAGACGGCAGAAAGGCCTAGAGCTGACGGACTTTGAAGCCTTCCTACGGGCCTTTCCTTGAGTTGCTGTTTGGGACCTACTGCCAGAAACTCAAGTACTTGTTTTGTATGATTCCAAAAGAAGAGGTTTGCACTGCTGCTTAAAAATGTAATTAGCATCGTATGTTAACAACATTTTGACAAGAATTGCTTCCCGACAATGCTGAGAAATCTGTAGTGCAGACTCCCTGGTGCCACTGTCAGAGTGAGTGATACTGAAGCCCCATGCTGCCTGGAAACAGCGGCTGTGAGGGCTGCTCTGGCCTCATCCTCATTCTCCTTCCCCCACATGGGCTCCGAGACCACGCTCAAGGCCGGCATTGCTGGTTTAGACTCTTTCTCAGCTCAGCGTTGTGAAAGGGCTGTGCTCGCCCAGGCTCTCCGTCATTCCACAGACGAGGAGGGAGGGGAGATGCTGCCTCCCAGATGGAGCGATTCAGAAATGCATTGTATCGGGGACTGGTCTGACTCAGAGCCTCTGTTTGCAGTTCTTCCAGTGGTCAGGGTGAGTGTACAGTCGTGACACCCCAAGGCAACAGAACAGCAGACTCCACTGCACTTCTGCTTCCCTTACTGGCAGAATGGCAGAGCTTCAGGTAAGGACCCACATGCTGGTCATCTCCCAGCGCATCTTCTCACCTGTCTCCTTCCCTCCCAGGTCACGTTTATCAGAATGGAAGGGGTGTCCATTCTGAAGGGGTGGCCAGCAGGACTCAGGACCCTAACCTCGCCGTCTCTTTGAAGGGGGGTGAAAGGGACTGGAGTGAAAAAAACAGACTTCAGGGCCGCCCCCTACACACCCCCCCTCTATATTTCTCAGATGTGATGAAAAGTAGCTCAAAACCCAACAGTCAGCGCCCCGGAAGAAGTGCTGAATTAAAGACGAGCCTTGATTTTAAGACTCACCCCCAGCCAGGGCCATCCTCACCCCACGGCCCTCTGCTCCCTATCTTGGTTCCCACCTGAGGTTTGTTTCTTGCCACCAGCTCTAATCTCTGCCCTTCCTAGTGATGCGCCAGCCCATTGTGATTTCCAGATGCAGCTTTTCCACCCGTGCTCCAGAAAAAGCCCCAGCCCCTGGGCTCGCCGTGCCTACTCACGCCAGCCTGGCCCCGCAGTTTTCTCCCTCGATGTCACCTCCAGCCACGTTTTCGGTGTTGACAGACTCGGTCTCACTGGTGGGCATGCTCACTGCAAGAGTCAAAGGGAAGCAGAGCAAGGCATTGAGGGTGGGGAGAGAAGGGAACAGAAGAGCATTAGTTTGCAACACGCTCACCGCAAGACCCAGTGCGGGTTGGCAGAAAGAGAGCCTGTGTGCACTGGCTGGCTAATCCGCACGGATCCCCTTGACTGACACACCTGCTGCTTGTCCAGGGCAGGTTTTGCTGCCAAGAACACTGTAAACTAATGGAAGTATGGGAGGATATCTGGTAATAACAGCATTTTACCTTACAGGATACATCCTGAAAAAACTGACCACTGAATCTCTCCTCTCCACTCTGTGGACTGGAAGAAGCTGCAGAGCCCCATTTGCAACTACCACTTGCCATAGAAAGAGGAGCTTTCGTGAAAATATATCATTTTCCTTACTTTATCCCACCCACCATCTCTAAGGGGCTCCATCTCCAAGAGCAGGGACCAGCCTGTTTGTAGAAAGGGCGTGCTTGCTGCTGGGTGGACGGGACCTCCCCTTTCCGGCAGCCGGTTACTCCCAGGAGCACGACTGAGACAGAGGGCTTGAGGGAAATGGCCATTCCCAGAGCCACGCACTGAGACTCAAACTAGCCCTGGAGACATCAAGAGTGAGGAGTGGAAGTGTGCAGTCCACACGATGATGTTTAACTGTGGTCAGAAGACAGCCTGTACAGATACTATTTCCCCTTTCAGCCACCCTGACATTCCCATGTCAACAGGTTGACTTGGGTATAAGTCGTTTAATTCAACTTGTCCACCCTCCTCCCAAGGCAACTGTGGGCTGAATTTCCAGAACGATGGGAGTTTTCTAGCTTAGAACCCAGTTTGGTGGCCTGAAAGAAGTCATTATTATTATTAATTATTATTTTTTCTTCTAAATAAAAGTTTAACTCAAATAAATTTTCTTCACCTTCCATCATTCTCTTACTATGACACAACACATTCCTTAGTTCTGTAACCCTTATTCTTTAGAGCGGCCATCGTATGCTTGGTCCTGGTTCTGCTGTTCCTCCAGAATAGAACCCCTCATCTGCTGAGAAAGCCACCAGCCCTCAGCAGACACAGAATCTGCTGTTAGTGAGGGAGCGGCCTCCGGTGACAAGTCCCTGTGAGGCTGCCAGCGCCCAAGAAACACTTCTACTGGTCGTACGGATAATGTTGATGGATGTGGATTTTTCCCGGTTTCCTTTCCTTCGGATTAAGACAAGCCAGGTTGGTGAGAAGAGAATCATTTCAAGCACATGGAAGATAAAAACAAAGTCCACGACTTACCGTATGTTTGACTGTTGTGTATGAGAGACCTCTCTGATCTTTTTAATGAAATTGAATTAAAACAAAATCCAGATGTCATTTCATAGAACTCTAGAGCTGGGTGAGGCTTTAGAAACTTTCTGGCTCTAACTCGTCCTCCTCACTCTGCAGGAGAGGAAAGCGAGGCCAGAGAAGGGATGTGATGCCCGCGGTCACGCGGTGTGTTCGAGGAGGCCTGGGACCAGGGCACAAATGTCACACCCCCTGCACCATATTCATCTTGAGTGCCCCAGTCTCAACCGCCTCTGTACTCTACACCCTAGGCAACGACAAGTTTCTTATAGCCTACTAGGCTCTGGGAGCACCACAGGAAGGCAGTGAGTAGCCAAACAGGGGCACTGAATTCCATAGCATTACACTCACTTTATAGTCTGAAGTCTGGAGGGGCTGGTGAGACCAGCCCTTAGGGATGGTTTCAGGCCTGGGAGCTGGCAAAACGGACCTTCAGAGCTTGCCAGGGACCCTGCTCAAACCACACTAAGGAAGCCATACAATGGAAGCACTCTCAGTCTTCCAATCCATCTATCTCCAGCCATCACAGCCCTAAGATTTTTTAATTTTATTTTTTATTTTTTAGCTCTCCACCCTCTGGATATCCTTGCTTGAAGGGCCAGGCCATGTAGAAAAAGTTCTGTGACGCTGTGACACTTGGTTCCCAGAGCCTTATGTGTGAGTACAGTGCTGTGGAGGTGGCGGTGCTAGGCTTGGAAAGACAAATGAACTTGGAGGGGCAGGCCTGGGCACTAGAAATAAGGACAGCACCTTCTAAATCGAGGCACTGCCTGTACTGGTTCCAACCGCGCATTCACAGTGTCCTTACTCCAGGGCAGCACTGCCCAAAGGAAGAGCTCCTAGAGGAACGGCTCTGCCAGTTGTCACACCCACTGACTTTATACATATGAAGCAATGACAAGGCAGTGCCGTTGACGGGGGACAGGTTGCCATCCCTTCACAAACACACAGACACACACACAACATATATACGTACACATATATGCACACACACAGAACTACTGCGGCACAAGCCATCAAGAGAAACACCCTCCCGTTCTGTCTGGTATGCACCCACACACATTTACACACACACAGCACAGGGCGACATTACCATGGGTTTCTGTGGAATGACTAAACCAAGAAAACTTCCCTTTCTTCTGATCAAGCATGCCCGCCGGAGTGCCTCCTTTCACAGACAAGATGGTCAGTGTCAAGAACCAGGAACAAGACATCAACAGAGCACACGCAGTCAGCCACGGGCAAAAGAAAGAAACAAGGAACTCAGCTTTCACACAGAACATCCATTTTTATCACAGAAAATAAACAAAAAAAATTCAAAGCAATAAATCAAAACATATAGGAAAACAACAAAATAGAACCAAACCCCCAACTCACATGAATTAACATCACAAAACAAATGATGACCCTGGAGAGAAGGAATTACTCCAGGAGAGAGAGGCTATCTGGCATATCTAATGAAAGACTTTGAGAGGGCTTCCTAGGACGGGGCTGGCACTCATCCCTGCTGCTTCCTTAGGGAGCTGTTGCCCTTTGCAGGCTCAAGTGGGGTCACTGCTAAAGTCTAGCAGTAGCCCTGGTATCCTCTTCATCCCTACCCACTAGCCAGGTGACTTGTCTCCTCCCTCACATGGGACTACACTGCAAAACTTTCACCTGTAGTGGATTCAAGGGTTTCCTCGCTATTTGCACCTGGATGGAGTCACCCGCAGGTGGAAAATAACCCATTGACCTACTTGCTCCTTTGTTCAAAATTCAATTCTTTTTATTTATTTATTTATTTATTTATTTATTTATTTATTTATTTATTTTTTGAGACAGAGTCTCACTCTGTCGCCCAGGCTGGAGGGCAGTGGCGCGATCTCGGCTCACTGCAAGCTCTGCCTCCCGGGTTCCCGCCATTCTCCTGCCTCAGCCTCCTGAGTAGCTGGGACTACAGGCGCCGCCACCTTGCCCGGCTAATTTTTTGTATTTTTAGTAGAGACGGGGTTTCGCTGTGTTAGTCAGGATGATCTCGATCTCCTGATCTCGTAATCTGCCCACCTCGGCCTCCCAAAGTGCTGGGATTACAGGCGTGAGCCACTGCACCCGGCCAATAATTCAATTCTATTCAGCAAAGACCCATCAAAGGCCTAGGGCTCATACCCAAAACATATATGTATCTGCTTTTAATTAGTTTAAATGGGCCGGTAAGTTGTTAAATTGCCTGTCAATGGGTGGCCATTTGAGGAAGTTTGTAAATAAGGGAGAAGAATTCTGTGAGCCCCGCTGGGTCTGGGCTACAGCTGAAGAGGAGAGTGCTCCAGAAGAGTGTGAAGACACTAGCCACTGCACAAGAGGGTGTGAAGACTCCAGTCACTGCATGGAAGAGTGTGAAGACCCCAGCTACTGCAAGGAAGAGTGTGAAGACACCAGCCACTGCATGGAAGAGTGTGAAGACCTCAGCTACTGCATGGGAGAGTGTGAAGACCCCAGCTACTGCATGGGAGAGTGTGAAGACCTCAGCTACTGCACGGGAGAGTGTGAAGACCCCAGCTACTGCAAGAAAGAGTGTGAAGACACCAGCCACTGCACGGGAGAGTGTGAAGACCTCAGCTACTGCCCGGGAGAGTGTGAAGACCCCAGCTACTGCAAGGAAGAGTGTGAAGACACCAGCTACTGCACAGAAGAGTGTGAAAACACCAGTCACTGCATGGGAGAGCGTGAAGACACCAGTCACTGCAAGGGAGAGTGTGAAGACACCAGCCACTGCATGGAAGAGTGTGAAGACACCAGCCACTGCATAGGAGAGTGTGAAGACTCCACCTACTACATGGAAGAGTGTGAAGACACTAGCCATTGCACTGGAGAGCATGAAGACACTAATCACTGCATGGGGAAGGGGATGTTCTGTATGAACTTGGAGTTCTGGATGTCAAGTGCTTTAGCTAATTGCTCAGATAAAGTTTTCCCATTTCATTTGAAAGAACTGGCATGAGCTGTGTCTCTGCGAGGTCACTATGCAGGGTGCAAAAGGAATTGTGGTTTTTGCATTGTTGGCATTTGCCATTTGGTATTGAAATATGTTCTTAAATAAATTTGGTTATGTTGTACTTCATTTTAATGGGCATTTCTCTTTTTTTGTTGTTAATGATGTATTACTTGCTGTTTATTTTATGTTTATTTTAGACTATGGAAATGATGTTAGACAAAGAGCAAATTCGAGTGATTTGGGTCATAAAGCAGTGGAGACAACTTGCAACATCAACAGCTCATTTGGCCCAGGAACTGCTAATGAACATCCACCGCAGTGGTGGTTCAAAAAGTTTTGCAAAGACGAGGAGCATAATGAAGAAGATGAGGAGCATAATGGCAGGCCATGGGAAGTTGATGACGACCAATGGAGAGCCATCATCGAAGCTGATCCTCTTACAACTACACGAGAAGTTGCTGAATAACTCAATGTCAACCATTCTATGGTTGTTTGGCATTTGAGGCTTATTGAAAGGTGAAAAAGCTCGATAAGTAGGTGCCTCATGAGCTGAGCAAAAAAAACAAACAAAAACAAAAACAAAAAAACAAAAAAACACATTGTTTTGAAGTGTCATCTTCTCTTATTCTACTCAACAACAACGAACTATTTCTTGATCAAATTGTGATGTGTGAGGAAAAGTCTATTTTATGTGACAACCAGC